AAACTAAATCCAGAATATCACATCATAGTTATAAATTGATTTGCATTTGATTGTGTGAAATACATATTTGATCCCCTAGCAAAACATGATTTAGTACTTGGTGGAGAAACCGTTGTTGGCAAGCACAGAGGTCAGACGTTTCTTGATGTTGGTAACCAGGTTTGTGCAAATCTCAGGAGGTCCACTCCTCTTTGCAGATCCTCTCCAAATCCTTATGGTTTCGAGGCTGTCGCTTGGCAACTCGAAGCTTCAGCTCCCTCCACTGATTTTCTATGGGATTAAGGTCCGGAGACTAGCTAGGCCTGTCTGTCCATGACCTTAATGTGCTCCATATGTTTTGGGTCATTGTCGTGCTGGAAGGCCCATCCATGACCCATTTTCAGTGTCCTGGCTGAGGGAAGGAGGTTGTCGCCCAAGATTTCATGGTACATGGCCCTGTCCATCCTCCCCTTGATGCGGTGAAGTAGTCCTGTCCACTTAGCAGAGAAACACCCCCAAAGCATAATGTTTCCCAACTCCATGCTTGACGGTGGGGATGGTGTTCTTGGGGTTATAGTCAGCATTTCTCTTTCTCCAAACACGGCGAGTTGAGTTGATGCCATAGAGCTTCATTTTGGTCTCATCTGACCACATAAACTTCTCCAAAGCCTTCTCTGAATCATTCAGATCTTCATTGGCAAACTTCAGACGGGCCTGTACATGTGACTTCATGAGCAGGGGGACCTTGAAGGCACAGCAGGATTTTAATCCTTTATGGCGTAGTGTGTTACTAATGGTTTTCTTGGTGACTGTTGTCCCAGCTGTCCTGAGATCATTAACAAGTTCCAACAAGTAGTTCTGGGCTGAACCCTAAGAATATGGAATCTCTAACAATGTAAATGTTACTACAGCAACCAACTGTATACAAACATTGTACTTCTGGTGCATCGTGGTAAAGCTCAAATCAAACAACAAATTGAATTTATGTTAGTAAATTACCTGTTCAGAAAAAAAAATTGAGATATCAGCATCGGAAACTCTTTCTCTCAGCAGAAATGTCTATCTTGTTTATCCTTGTTTCTGTTATCATGTCCCCTTTTCATTTCAAGTCCTTGCATTTTTGCTTCTTTGAAGACTTCAGTGTAGGCTCTCTTGTTTTGTGTGTTGTTATAGTAGAAGCATTATCCTTCATTAAACATAATTTCTTTTAGCAAACTTAAAATAACCCCCAGGTCCAACTTCTTCTTTGTTTTGTTACAAGCTCTTCTTAGTCTGTTGAATAAATGCTGCTTTGAATGCCACCTCTTTGTTTGTCAGCTCCGGGCGACTATAGCAATATGATGACGCAAGATGGCGATGGGCATGGTAAGGCGACCCGTGGTACATGTAGATATTTGATAATATATAAGGCTCATTCTACCGTAGCAAAAACATTATGGTTTTAACTTTAGGGTCACACAGTTACTATACAAAATCTCTTCTGGGTGAAATCAGATTTACCACAGTCATTTAATCCCAACATGAAAGAGTTCATTGGATATGGGTTTCACGACCCCCAAAAGAAGCGCTGACATCCATAATGGTGAAACCTTTATGTTTCAGATTAAATTGTAAACAAAGAGGGGAGATATTGGATAGGGGATTCTTGAGGAGTTTGTCACACTTCTGAATTTTTTGTTCTGGTGGAGGTGGAACTTTCTATAGAGTGCTGGAATGATTTAATTTCTATA